ATCAATTCCAGGTGGATTAAAGCTCTAAAAGTGATAAGACAATAAAGCTTCTGGAAGATATAAGAAAATATCTTTATGACTTTGAGTTAGGCAAAGATTCCTTAACAAAACATTGAAAGTACTGATCGTCCAAGAAAAGATTATTTGGAATAATTAAAATTCAGAACTTATTTTCATCAAAAAACGAGCTACAGAGTAGCAGATGATAGTTGCAATACATACAACTAACAAAGTACTCATTCTCAATATATTTTTAAAACCTCTGACATATCACTTATATGTGAAATCTAAAAAAACAAAAACAAAAATCATAGACTTGGAGAATAGAATGAGAGTTGCCAGGGGCTGGTGGAAGAGGGAATATTGGGAGATGTGGGTCTAAGGGTATGGACTTTCAGTTACAAGATGAATAAGTTCTGAGGACCTAACATACAGCATGGTGACTATAATTAATAATAGGTATTATATGTACTTGACATGTGCCAAGAACAGGTTGTGAGCATTAGCACCACACACACACAAAAACGATTAATTGCCTTGATCTTGGTAATCACTCCACAGTATATATGCATACCAGGTCATCACATTGTACACTTTAAATATATGCAATTGTATTTGTCATTCTTCAATAAAATTGAAAAAAAAAACACTTAAAAAAAAAACCTAATAAATCAATTAGAAAAAGATGATCAACCAATAGCAAAGTGGCAAAAGACTTAAATAGGCAGTTCAAAAAGAAGATACCTGGAAAGCCAATAAATGTATTATTAGTCATCCAGGGAAATGTAAATGAAAACCACAGTGATATCAGAATGGCCAGAACATAAAAAGACTGACAATACCACGTGTTGGTGAGAATGCGAAGCATCTGAAACTTTCATACATCGCTGGTAGGAATGTAGATTGGCACGGCCACATTGGAAAACTGTTAGGCCACCTCTACTAAAGTTAAACACTTATCTGTCTACCCCATGACCCAGCAATTCTACATTGGGCAGATTCCACCCCAAAGAAATGAGGGTGTATGCACCAAAGACATGTACAAGAACGCTCATAGCAGGGTAATGAGCAGTAAACTAATACAGAGGCCAGAAGAGTAGTTACCTTTTTTTTTTTAATTTTTTTTTTCAACGTTTATTTATTTTTGGGACAGAGAGAGACAGAGCATGAACGGGGGAGGGGCAGAGAGGGAGGGAGACACAGAATCGGAAACAGGCTCCAGGCTCCAAGCCATCAGCCCAGAGCCTGACGCGGGGCTCGAACTCACAGACTGCGAGATCGTGACCTGGCTGAAGTCGGACGCTTAACCGACTGCGCCACCCAGGCGCCCCGAGTAGTTACCTTTGTCGGGAAGGCGGGGAGAGCACTGAATGGAAGAGAACATGAGGGAGCCTTCTGGAATACCACAGATGTCCTCTATCTTTAATTAGACAGTAGAATGTCTATGTATGTAAAAGTTTATGAGGCTATACACTTGGTTTTCCTACACTTTACTGGATGAAGCTTTCATCTAAATTTAAAAGGGAAAGAAAGGAGGGGCGCCTGGCTGGCTCAGTCAGTGGAGCATGCACCTCTTCATCTCAGGGTTATGAGTTCGAGCCCCGTGTTGGGCATAGAGATTACTTAAAAGTAAAATCTTTCAAGAAAAAGAAAAAGGGCACTATATGTTAACTAACTTGGACGTAAATTTAAAAAAGAAAAGAAGGGGCACCTGGGTGGCGCAGTCGGTTAAGCGTCCAACTTCAGCTCAGGTCACGATCTCGCGGTCCGTGAGTTCGAGCCCCTGGGCTGATGGCTCAGAGCCTGGAGCCTGTTTCCGATTCTGTGTCTCCCTCTCTCTCTGACCCTCCCCCGTTCATGCTCTGTCTCTCTCTGTCCCAAAAATAAATAAACGTTGAAAAAAAAAATTTTTTAAAAAGAAAAGAAATGGCATGTCTCCTCACCTTGGTCCATTCCTTGGACCATTCCTACCTTGGTCCATTCGTTCCTTGTATCTTCAACTGTGCCACCTCATTGAAGAAGAACTTAGCAGTGTGCACATGCTTCTATGCCTTCTAGGCGTGTGCCTTGATCTCTTCTTAAGGTTTTCATCACTAGTGCCAGTCACGATGTCCCCCAAGAGTTGTAGGAGGCTTCAGAAGTGAACCCTCCAAACTTTCTGCTGCTGGGTGATGACCTTTCACGGGCATGGGGTGCTGGCCAGCCTTACGCCCCAGGAGCACACCAACAAGAGCTATAGCACCCCAAAAATTTTCTCTGAGGCTCAAACAAATTTGGCTGATGGCCATCTCTTTCTCCAGTGCTTCATGCCTAAGAAGATAAACTGCTAGCTATTTTCGACGGGGAAAACCAGCAGATTTTCATGATAAATGGGGCCTTTCACCTGCACTTCCTACAGACAGCTGCAAAGTCTGCCAGACTAACTCTTGCCTTTTCTGACTTCATTGCTTTTTGTAAAACCTGAGACCAAGGTCTCCCATCTGTTCAGCTGTCTGGTGAGAACAGAATTTTATTGTGACTGGCCAGGGACTGAAAATGTCATCTCTCTCAAGATATGGGAGACCCAGAGAATTATGTCAAGTTCCTTCAAAACTCTTCCTGTCACTTAAGACTATACAATTATTTATGCATATAATATATCTCTGGGAAGTAGGAAGTATAGAAAAAGTAGGAAGTATCCCCATGTGTTTTAAAACCTAATCGTGTTTTTCCCACCGACAAATAATGCTAAGACATGGCTTTGATTTTGACAAGCCTCTGAAAATTAGCTACATGGAAGATAAAGTTGAATCCTCACCAAGCGTCAAATAGCATTCCATAAAACAAAAACAAAACAGAGAAGGAGTGACAAAAAAAAGAAAATATTAATATTCCCAGTTAACAAAAGTACAGGAACTAGTGTCGGGAACACTGGTGTAACACGTAGCTCGGTCAGATCTTAACATGCTGTAGTTTGCTTTAGTTTTTCTTATAAAGGAAATCATACAGTTACTACCGAAGCCCGCTGTGGACTCTACCCTGCCATTCCCCTCCCTCCGTGCCCAAAGGTAACCATTATTCTGATCTTGATTTTTATCATTCCCGTGTGTGTTTTGGTATGTTGCGTGTGTATATATTCTCAAATGATACGTGATTTTGTTTTGCATTTTAAAACTTTATGCAAGTGGTACTAAATGTATCATTTCCCCACTTGCTATTTTTGCCTAACAGTGTTTTTGAGATTTAACCACATTGATATATGTTGTTTGAGTTCATTCATTTCAACTTCAGTATCTTGTTCCATTGCACGAATATGCCACCATTTGTTTGTTCATTCTCCTGTTGATGGACATTTAGATTGTTTCCAGTCTTCTGCTTTTACTTTTTTTTTTTAATGTTTATTTATTTATTTTGAGAGCGAGGACATATGTGTGTGAGCAAGCGGGGGAGAAGCAGAGAGAGAGAGAGAGAGAGAGAGAGAATCCCAAGCAGGCTCCATGCTGTCAGTGCAGAGCCCAGTGAGGGGCTTAATTTCATGAACCATGAGATCATGACCTGAGCTGATATCAAGAGTTAGACGCTTACCTAACTGAGCCACCCAAGGCACGCCCAGTCTTTTGCTTTTATAGACAGCAGATGCAGGGAACATTTTTCACGGGGGCAAGAATTTCTCTCAAGGATGTAAGTGTGAGGGCTGTGTTACGGGTTATGCACATGCACAAGCAGGAAATGTTACTGAATTCCCCCCAAAGTGCTTTAATTTATACTCTTACCACAAGTGTGAATTTCATTGCCCTGTATCCATGCCAACACTTGATATTATCAGCCTTTTTACTTGTGCCTATCTCATGATTATGAAATGGTATACAATTGTGGTTTTAATTTGCATTTACTAGATTACTAATAAGGTTAACTATCATTTCACTTGCCTTGTAGGCACTTCAGTTTCTGCTTCTGTGAGTTGCCAGTTCAAATCTTTGCTCCACTGTTGGTGTTATTATTGCTTTGGGGTTGCTGATCTTTTTCATGTTGATTTATAGGAATCTTTATGTGTTCTGAATGGTATTCCTTTGCCCGTACCGCACATACGCTTTTCTAGTTTGACTTTTTCCTTTGCTTATGTACCTTTGATATAGCCTCATTTTATTTTAAGCGATAGATTTTTTTTTTAATTTTTTTAACGTTTATTCATTTTTGAGAGACAGAGCAGGAACAGGGGAGGGGCAGAGAGAGAGGGAGACACAGAATCCGAAGCAGGCTCCAGGCTCTGAGCTGTTAGCACAGAGCCTGACACGGGGCTCAAACTCAGGAACTGCGGGATCATGACCTGAGCCGAAGTCAGACGCTTAACCAACTGAGCTACCCAGGTGCTCCTAATTTAGTTTTTAACGGGCAGAAATTATACCACATTTTTTTCTAGCTTTATTGAGATATAATTGGCATATAACATTGTGTAAGTATAAAGGATACACAGTGTGTTAGTTTGATACGTTAATATCTTGTAAAATGATTCCCGCCACAGCGTTAATTAACACCTCCATCCTGTCACATAATTACCATTTCTTTTTTGTGGTGAGAACATTTAAGATCTACTCTCTTACCAACATTTAACTGTGTCATCTTGGTTTTTTCCTGGGTAATGGGAATTGTATGTAACAAATGTTTTTCCTTTTATATTTCTGTTTATTTTCCAAATTCTCTCCATCAAGAATGGAGAAATCAGGAAAATGCTTGCTTTTGCTTTTGGTTTTTTTGAGAGAGAGAGAGACAGAGCATGGGGCAGGGAGGGGCAGAGAGAGAGGGAGACACAGAATACGAAGCAGGCTCCAGGCTCTGAGCTGTCAGCACAGAGCCCCACGCAGGGCTCGAATTTGTGAACCACAAGATCATGACCTGAGCCAAAGTCAGACACTTAACTGACTGAGCCACCCAGGCGCCCCAGGAAAATGGTATTCATCAGCATAGGTATACTAAGTGCTGTGTCCCCATGAAGTGGCTAGTAATCTGCTTCATTCCCACAGCTGCTGCTGGACACCCATTCCTTGAAGATGGTCCTGCTTGATCTACCTTCCATTGGCTCACAGGTGGTGAGGAAAGCACCTGCCAGTTACACTAAAATTGTTGTGAAAGGCATGACCCGGGCAGAAATGATACTCAAGGTGGGTCTTGTGTCTTCCTCAGGGTTTCTATTAAAAGGGGCTGGTTATCTGGTGGTTTATTCGAAGGACTACTGGTTTTGAAAGTACAGATGAGGGCTGTCCCCATCAGCCCCAAAGGATTGTCCACATTCTTTGGCTAGCCAGATTTGGGCCTCATCAGAGATTGTTGAAAGTCAGTGGACAGTTACTCAGGGGATCAGTAATTCTTTGTGACAAATGAATTTTTCATTGTAATGGGATCCTCTTGTAGGATTTGGCCAAGATTGGAAATTAGGTGGGGCTGTCGCTGTGAATCAGTGTCTGAGTCAAGGATCTCTTTACTTCTCAGCAGGAATTTAGCCCAGCTATCAGTTGCTCACTTTCCCACATAAACCTCTTTAGCTTTCTATACCCTGCAACTTTCCAGGAACTCCAAGCAGATGTTGCAGTAACTGAATCTGATCAGCAAATAGGCTTTAATGGGGGCTTTAGGCCCCGTTTAACAAACTATTATACGTGGGGTGATGATATGGAGAATGTCTGAAGCCTTGAGCACCTGCATCTGATTTTCACCTGCACTTGTTGAGAAGAGAGGGGGGGCCTGTTTGGGGGAGGGGAGAAGGCTGGAGAACAAATGGAACTATCCTAAAATGTTCCTAAAAGTACAGGGCCTGCAAGCTCATCAGGCCTGTCTCCCAAACAGAATGGTTTGAATGATGGCGGGAGTGTAGAGTAGCTATGGCCCATCAGTGGGACCAGGTGAGGTTCCTGCACAGACCTTGAGCTCCGGCCGGAGGAAACTGGAAGCGGCCTAATCGGCTTCTTCCCCCAGCTGGCTCACTCACCGGAGAGGGGAGCGTGCAGTTGGGGAGCGATCTGCAGGGAGTGTCTGAGTGAATACGGCTTGTCACCCTCTGGTCCATTCTCAGGAGTTCCTGCATTCCAAAACCAGAGCGGAATGGATCTGAAGATTGTGATGCCCTCAGTTTCCTTCTGTTTGTAGATTAATTGACAGTTTAAGTGCATGTAGTTAAATGAAGTTCAGGTTTTAAGTCTTGAAAGGCAGCTTTGGGATTTTTGTCCTTGAGAAAATCCATTTAGATCTATGGGTTTTGTGAGTCATTCCTCAGGGATAAAGATGCATTGGGACAGTAGGAGCAGGTATCATGAACCCCCATCTCAGAACAGGAGGCTCTCCGGCACAGCGTTTCACAAATGGTCCCGATACTTAAAAACCACGTGGGAGGACCCCACCCCAGGTCTCTGAGTTCAGATCTTCAGGGGAGGCACCTAGAAATCTACACTTAAAAAGCAATCCAGGTGATATTTATGCTTTAATAAATTTAAGAAACATTGCTATAATTGAACGTTGAGATGAAATAGGCCGTCGGGACATTTCTGAGTTTAGGGTTGCTGCCGCTTAAGGAAATCTTGCAGAATCCATTTTGTGGTCAGCTTGCAAGTAAGGAAAAATGATCCCCTGCTTTCCAGTCATGAGTTTTCCTGCAGGCCCACTCTTGTCTCCCTCCCCTGCAGGTAGTGATGGCCCCTCACGAACCGCTGGTGGTGTTTGTTGACAACTATATCAAACTCCTTACGGACTGCAACACAGAAACCTTCCAGAAGATACTGGACATGAAGGTTAGCTCGCTGTCTTGTTTTGTCCACACTTGCACATCCTTCTCACACGCGGTGGTTCCTGACCAGGGGGTTGGATACGGGCTCCTGGGGAGCTTTCTCAGAGTGCATCTGCCTAGCCCCAGGCCACAGACCAGATTCTAAGACGTCTTCTGAGGAGAAGGACCCCGGACAAAATAACTTCCTGACTCTGCTGGTACCTCCGAGCCCCATGGAGAACCAAAGGCTCAGCAGAGGCTGGGGGCGGAAGGAGTGAACTGTCCCTTCTCTCCGCCCCTTCTTTCTCTCCTTTCCTTTCACCCGTTTTTCTTCCCTCCGCTCTTCTCCCAGGCTGCTACCCACGGCAGGCAGTGCCCCCGAAGGAAGTGTTCATCTTCAGCCTAGAGCAGTTATGCTGTTTGCACAGCCGTGGCTGACAGCACACGAGATATTGCACTCTCCCCTGGGGGACTTACTGGGGCCAGATGTCATGATTACCCTCCTTTCTCTTTCAACTTCAGGGGCTGAAGAGAAGCGAGCAGAGCAGCATGCTGGAGCTCCTGCGCCAGAGGCTCCCCACCCCGCCTTCAGGGCCAGAAGGCTCCGGCTCACTGTCACTACTGGCTCCGACACCAGAACAGGAATCCTCTCGCATCCGCAAACTAGAGAAACTGATTAAAAAGAGACTGTAGGAGCATGCATGGGGCACTGTTTTCCCTGGCTGGTGCCCCTCAGCACCCGGCTGCCTGGAAGCCCCCCACCAATCCTGCATTCCCCCTGACTCTCAGATCATCAATCCTGAAACCTCCTGGGACATTTGGGTTGTTCATGTGTCTTCTCCATGACCTGTCTTAATTCTTGTCCTAATCAAAAAGCCAAGCAAGGGCAGGGTGATAAAAAGGCTACAGAGTTGGTCTTTGATTCTATAGCAGAGGCAGCGGTGGGTGAAAGGGCCCTGCGGTTCACTTGTGTTCCTGAGCTGCTCGTCACTGGCTTTACAGCCTCACCTCTGCTGTCATACCTTCTGGCACGTGGCCCTATCTGCCCCACCTGGCCAGACAACATGGGTAGAAGCCCTGGATCTCACCCCTTCCTCCATTTGCTGCTGTGGGAGGTTACCCCTGCAGCCAGATGCTAAGATTTGTGCTCCCTGTTCTGTGGGCTTGGGTCTGGGGCCTGAGCTAATGCAGTGACACATTACAGCTGTAGGACATTAGTCTTGCCTGATGAAGGCAGTGGAAGCAGGTGCATTCTTCCTTCTAGATCCATCTCCTGGTATGTATTGTCATGCCTAGGCCAGGTTATCTCAGTAATCTCCGGTCCCCTCTCTGTATGTGTCTCAGGAGAAAGTCCCTCTGTGTGTCTCACCCAGGAAGACTGTATGTGCTAGGCCTCAGAAGCAGGTGCCCTCTGTGCCCTGGGGCTCCTTGCCTGGGTATGGGGGTACACCCATATCTGCCTTGGAGAGAGGGTTCTGCTCGGCATACTCACTGCATGCTGTAAGCAGATTATTTTCTCCATTTCTTTATTCCCACTCTAGCCCTGACTTCTAGGGGAGGGATTGCCTTCTGTGAGAAGAAACTAGGAAGTTTTCCTAGAAAACTTGTCCTAGGCTTTCTCCTCAGATGACGCTGTGGGACAGCACAGGAGGCCTGGGCCCTCTAATCCCCTTCCTGGCCATGTATTTTCTTTTTTTTTTTTTTAATTTTTTTTTTTTTAACGTTTATTTATTTTTGAGACAGAGCATGAACGGGGGAGGGTCAGAGAGAGGGAGACACAGAATCTGAAACAGGCTCCGGGCTCTGAGCTGTCAGCACAGGGGCCCGATGCGGGGCTGGAACTCACGGACCGCGAGCCGAAGTCGGCGCTCAACCGACTGAGCCACCCAGGCGCCCCCTGGCCATGTATTTTCAAATCCACATTACTTTCCAGAATGATCTGAAACAACAGAGGTGATGTGAGGTGCCAGAACAACATACCTTCGGAACAGAATGTTGACCTTAAACACCTGCTCAGAGCCTGTGCCAGCCCAGAACACAGCCTGACCCCCGGCTCCAGCTGGCTCTCAGCCAGCATGGCTTTGCAGAAGAGAGCTGCCCCCTAGAGCCTCTCAGTCCCCACATCATCCTGCAGCATGAGAACGGGCAGCATGTCAGGTAGCTGCCCTGACTTGCCTGGTTCAGTGGAAACCGAGCCTCAGTTAACCGGGACCACAGCCTCAGGGCAGCCGCCGTTTGTGTCTGCATTGTTCAGGAATTCTGAACAATGTGTTGGCCAGGTGGGGAGAGAGCACTAAGGAGGAAGGAGGAACTCTTTACAGAAAATGCACATAACAGGCCCTCAGGATAAAATTGGGATATCAAATAGCGCTCAAAAATGAGTTTTCAGGATAGAGGAAGTTTCCTGAAAATCCATAAAACTTGTGACAGCCATAAAGGAGGAAACTTTAAGGTTTGAAAACCAGACCAGGAACTGATTATTTTTCCCTTTCTTGTTTTCCAATGCAACCAGTCTGTGCGGCGCCCCTTCCCCTCCATCAGCCTTGTCCCAGACTCAGCCCATTGGCCGCAGCTTTGATCCCAGGCCTCACTTCTTCACCGGCTTCCAGTCTCTTCTTGCTAGTCAGTATGACTCGTATGTGCTGAGCGTCTCAAACTGGACAACACCGAGAAGAAAGTAAGAGGTGTGACCTTTGGCTGAGCTCTCTTAGGGAAAGATTGCTAAATGAGAAAAGTGCAGAAAGGCCGGGGAGGGGAGGGGGCGAGCGCAGGCCGCACACTGCCCGGACTTCACTTTGCCGGGACAGCCGTCCTGCTGCCCCGGTGACACCCCACAGCGCGCACTGAGGGAGGTTAACATTCTCTTCCTGCCCTTGAAAGAAGGGCTGATGGGCCCATCTCCAAACAGCACAGGCACTTCAGCCATCTGTCATCAACCTGGGGAGCCGGGAGAGCCAGTGGACTCTTGCACCTGGTTCTTGTCACTCTCGGTGTTTATAGACCCGCACTTCTCTCTCTGGTTCATTCTGAGGAGTTGTTTTCTGGACGTCTCCGTAACGCATTGAGATGTCAAGCCGCTGTTCCCCCCCCCCCCCCCCCCCCCCCCCCCCCCGTTGGTGGTCACAGCCAGGGAAGTTGCTTTCTTGATTTATTACATTGTCAGTAATCTCCAAGGAGCCCACAGATGTCAGTAGGAGTTATGCTAAATGTCTCGTTGATAGAGTCTGAATTCCGCGTATGCGTCTTCTAAAGACTGCATGTTTCTCAACTGGGGGTATGCATCAGAATCACCTGGGGCCCATTTTACAAATACAGTTGCCTGGAGATTCTGAATCAGGAAGTCTGGAGGGGGGTCTGGGCATGTGGGTGATTGGAACATTTACCCCCCATGTTAGAAACTATTGCAGTAGAGCGACATTTGCTTTATCAAAGTGTTCCCGTAGCACGTTTTCGTGAAGATTTATTTTTCCCAACTCTCTAAGCAAGTGTAATTACTGTATCGTTGAGCTGGTACCAACATGGGAAAGATTCTTTGCTAACATCCAGGGGCTTTAATTTGAAGCTTGTGTTGATGACAGGGACCATGCCAGAATTGTGCTGTCCCCATACAGACTAAGATTCTTGCCGTTTTGACAACCTGGCCCCAAAGAGAAATTTGATATATGATTGTCACTTCAAAATAACATATATAAAGGAGATAAAAACAGTAACAAAGAACTCTGTTATTAAGCTAAATTAGATATTGTGCCCATTCCTCCCCCCCACTTTCTCTAACTCCTAAAAAAACAAAAAAAAAACCAAAAAACAAAAAAAACTTGAAGCCACTTTATGTGGTTAAAATACGTATTGGTAATTTGTAATCGATGAAGATCTACTTTTATGGACAGACTTCCTGACAGCTGGCTTAGGGGTGGCCAGGCCGGAGAAACTTCTGTCTGAATCATAACCATGTGATAGGAACCACAATGGGTGGACAGAGTGTTTGGACCTCCAAGTTCGGTTCTGGAAGTGAAACTGTCACCACTCCTCCCTCTCTTAAAGAACCAAGAACTAGTACCTAGGACTTTGCCCCCAGAAAAAGGTGCCTCCTTTCTCAAGCCAAGGATGGCTCTTGGGTGCAGATCAAACGGGACTGAGAGCAGACTGCGAGGGAGCAGGGTGACATTTACGGACCGGACAGGGCGAGCAAGCAAGTCTGCGGCTGCTGCCTGATGTGGGGGTGCTCCACCAGCCCATCCTGAATTGCTGTTGGACAAGGAAACCTAGCTCCCTGTTTACGGAATGCTAGGGGAAATGCCAAAAGGTCACAGCTGGAAATGTAATTCCTCTCCCTAGGAGGAGAAATCTCCAGAATAACTAGCTGGCTGACGGTGAGAGCAAGTGTTTCACACTTCTCTACTCCAAGTCAGATTTCTAAAAATAAAATCATTAGAACTGCATCGGGCCATTTAAACAATAGCCTTGGAAACACGGACACATGAAAAGTTGGCATCCATTTTATATCGTAAATCTCAATTTCCAGTCTGATCCTAGTATTTATCAAAATAGATAGCCTCCCAGACCCTCAAAGTTCTATACTTGTGGGAGATATCAATTTCCTTAAAATAAAGGGACTGCTTTTTTGTGTAAATATCTTTCATTTCCCCCATCTGGAAGTGATTTCGCGGTGCATATTGGAGCATAAAGTACTACAGTTAATTAAAGCATTACTGGATGTCATTTGCTAGGGTGTATTTCCTTACTGATGACAGAAAACAGAACGGACAATAGGAAAGAATCAGGAAGCCTGTGAACCTCGGGCCCTCCTCAGCGTCTCCCCTTCTCCCCGGTGAAGATGTGCCCCTTCCCTGACGGCCGAAGGAAGCAGTGCCTGAAAACAGACTCGTTCATCAGCGCGGTCCTGGCAAGTCCAGTCTGCTGGACACCTCTAAATACGTGTAGAGCGTGCTGCGTCCGATCTGGAACCCTTCTTGTGCTCTGAATTTCTGTCCTGTTGACTTTCCCTTCTCCACCTTACTGTTCCGGTCATAGCCTGCTTTTCCATGTGACTGCAGATGAGTTCTGTCCTGTACACAGTAAGTTAATCCTGTTTCCGTAATAAGTGGGTGGGCATTTTGCAGTGAACTTTTTGGGAAGTCTGGCGTTTCCTTCAGCGGTGGAAAATCTGTTGCAGCACTTCCATTAGGCTGGCTTCAAGAGCCTTACCTAGTTTCCATTCTTTATTTCCACCCCCTCCCCACTTCACTGGGGTACCCAGAGATCAATCTGATGAGAAAAGAGACTTTTCCTTAGAACCCTCCAGAAGAGCAGTGCGAGGTGGCTCACCTGCCCCGTTCTCATCCTTGTCACCGACATAACCAGCCACTGGAGAGCAGCAGGGTAGGAAGAATGTGTCCATCTGAAACAAAAGCAGCCTGAGACTGGAAATTTCTACAGAAGGACCTGGTCTCCAGGTCCGGTCACGGCACTTTGACTTGACGTTGGACGAGTCCTTAGTCCTCCGAACCTTAGTTTTCAGGATCTGTAAAAGGGGATTATAATTAATAGGACTGTGTAGGTCACAGGAGACCAGGTTGCGTGCACACGCTCTGTCAGCCATCAGGCAGTGTGAAAAACGAAGTAAATGTCCATTATCACTCGCCAGGCCTGAACCACCAGTGCCCGGCCTGGCTGGATGGTGGGTGGCCATAGGG